GATTGATAAGGAATCCGAGAAATTTCCCAGACTCAACTCCAAAGACACATTTCTTGGGATTGAGCATGACATGGTGCCGCCTGAGTGTGGCGAAAGTTTCTCGGAGGTCCGACAGATGATCTTTCTGAAGTTTAGACTTGACAATCATATCATCAATATATGCCTCGACATTTCTCCCAATCTGATCAAAGAACACAGTGTTTATCATTCGCTGGAAAGTGGTCGGGGCATTCTTAAGACCAAACGGCATAACCGTGTAACAGTATAACCCCTGATCAGTGACGAAGGCCGTCTTCTCCTGATCTTTCTCCCATAAAGGAATTTGATGGAAACCAGAGAAGGCGTCCATAAAGCTCATCAAAGCATGGCCGGCTGTTGAGTCGACCAGGTTATCAATTTTAGGCAGAGGGTAACTGTCTTTGGGGCACGCCTTGTTTAAGTCTGTGTAGTCTACACACATTCGCCAGGTGGCATTCGGCTTTTTAACAAGCACCACATTTGCAACCCAGTCTGGGAAGTAACATTGCCGAATGAACCCTGCATCAAGTAATTTTTTAACTTCGGCGGCTGCCGCCTGACTTCTTTCTTCGCCATGGTTCCGCTTCTTCTGCCGTACCGGCTTCTTTTTCGGATCCACGGCCAGTTTATGTACCGCCAGATCAGGACTAATGCCTGGCATTTCATGGACTTCGAATGCAAAGATGTCCTTGTATTCTTTCAATAGTTTGTGAAAGTCGTCACCCAGGTCCCTTAGAGCAGTCGTCCCAACCTTGATTGTTCTGTCAGGACGCGAGTCATCTAACGTCAGGTCCGTATGCTCACCAGCTGGCTGAGGGCAGAATTCATTCGACCGCTCCTCTGCCAATGATTGCTATATTCTGTCTTTTCTTGCGGCCCCTGTCTGGGATGCCTTTCTCTTCTTGCCGCCTGCTTCTTGAACAGGCGCACTCTCCTTGACATTGTCAAGATCTATTTTTCCACCGCTCGACATAGTGGCCATAACAGTGGGCTTGACATCCGAGAGATAGCACTCTCGGGCCATCCTCTGATCTTCCCTTAGGGACCCGACTGTTCCATTATCCCTCTCAAACTTGAGCAACATAAGAGATGGGATTATAACAGCCTTGGAATTATTCAGGGTTGGTCGTCCCAAAATCATGTTGTAGGCCGAGAGTTCTTCTACTACCAGGAACCGGACTACCATGTGTCGTCCTTCCCCTTTTTCACCCAGGCGGATGGGTAAATCCACTCATCCCACTGGATGGACGACTCCTCCTCCAAACCCTACTAAAGGGTGGGATGCCGGATGTATGCAATCAGTCTGATATTTTAGTTTCGACAGACATTTGCTACTGATGAGATCTGAGGAGCTTCCGGTATCTATGAGGATTCGGCCAACTCTCTGGTTGGCCACTTTACATTCAATAACGATAGGGTCGTCATGCGGCCCTCTTACCCCTCCTAGATCTTCTTCAGTGATGACAATCTCAGGAAATGAATATTTGGAGGGCCGTTCTTGGTGAACGGAATTTACATCTAACCGTCTGATATTGTCTTTGTTGCCCCTAATAGTGGGGCCGCCTCCTGGGAAGCCGCCTGCAATGGTGTAGACGACTGCATCATCTGTATCGGAACTGTCGGCCTGTTGATTCTTTTTGGCCGACTGCTTTTTCGAGGAAGTGTTCCCCGTAGATTTCTTGACATAAGTGTCAAGATCACCTTGCTCAGCCAGGCGGTCCAGATACCGCATGAGACTGATGCATTCATTGGTGTGATGACCAACATCTTCATGATAATCACATAATTTTTCTTGGTTCCGGTTGTTTGCAGAACCCTTCATGGGGACCAGCTTCTCAATTGAGATCCGTCCCTTGATTTCCTTTAGGATAAATTGGCTATCCTTGTTAAACGCATACTTTGGGGAGTATGGTTTGAATTCTTTTTTCTTTTTCTAGGCCGGCTGTTTAGAGGAATCAGCCGTCCAGACCTCTTTTCTCTTCTCGTCTTTGTTTGACGACTGTTTCTGTCGTCCTTCTCTTTTGTCGGACCTTCTCCCGTCTGACTGTTTTACCGTACTACAAAGATCAGTCGCCTGTATATAAGTTTCCGCTTCAATCAAGGCCTCTTGAAGAGTCGCCACCCTCTTTCGGACCAAATCAAATTTGAAGGTCGACCCGTCTTTGAGACCTCTGAAAAAGTCAGTATAGGCTACTTCATCCGTAAACCCTTGAATCTGTATTCTCATCATGTTAAACCGCCTGATGTAAGAACGAAGCCCCTCCTTCTCGCCCTGCTGAATTGTTCCTAAATCAAGGGTCATCTTCTTCGCAGGGATGTTCATGGCGAAGTTGGAGGTGAATAAGTAAGCAAGCGTCTTGAAGCTATTTACACAACCAGTCGGCAGGTTGCCGAACCATTGTTGTGCGATTCCTTTGAGAGTCGCTTGGGAAACACTTGCACCAAGTGGGATCATCCAACCCTTGAAGGTACATCAGGTTGGTGAATGCCATCAGATGGTCTTCTGGGTTAGTAGTGCCGTCATAGGCGCCTACTAATACATTTTTCACTTTGGCCGGCTGAGCGGCTTCAGTAATTTCCTTGGAGAAGGCCGACGGCTGTTCGCCAAGTCTAAGCAACCGTAGCTGCCAGTCCATAGGTTGGACGTTTTTTGCTGCATGTCCACCAAACGGAGGTGGCTGTAAAAAATACTGTTGCGGTACAAACGGTAAGTTTGGTACCGCCTGGTCGCTATGATAGCCGGACTGGCGGGAGGTGCCGCCTGACTGACTCTCATGATACGACTGAGTATGCCTCATCGAGGTATTTCGCAGACTGTCTTGGAAGTTTGAAGTAGAGGCCGACTCTGACAATCGGTCACTCTTCTTCTACTCTAGCAGTAGCCGAGCGTCTGTGTATGTTTTCCTCGACCCGTCCGCCTGAATATGACGAACATGCTTCCTATTTCCTGGAGTAGGAAAACGGTATTTTGCGAAATCAAGGGCAGGTGGCTCCCGCTTCCTAGATTTAGGATGAGGGGTCGCCTCTCGCCCTTGAACTGGCTTCCTCTTCTGTGAAGTGGAGGGTTTCTTAGCCGACTGCTCCTTGTCCAGAGTAGGCGGCTTCTTGTTGATCAACTCTTGAATTTCTCCCTTGAAGTCCCTCATGAAGATCATGAGTTCGTTCCTTGTGATGGGAGCAGACCCATTAGTCGGCTGCTGCCGAACAGGCGGTGCGCCTGCTGGCTCGCTTCCAGTTTGAAGATGTTCCCGTTCCCTCCTTTCGGTATGACGGGTACGTCGAGCCCTTAGGGTCCCGTCTGAAGCTGTGTGAGCTTCAACTTCAAATTCATTCTCAGTATCGTGGTCCGACTGAACTAGAGGGTCGTCCAGGGGACGTCTCTCTTCAGGAGTCGGTACAAACGTGGATGCCATCTCAGAAGTACTCTCCCCACAGACGGCGCCAAGATGTTTCGGGGTTTTCTGATGTCCTGCGGGAGAGTTACAATTCCGAGACTGGAACCGGACGCCTGTACCTGCAAAACAAACGGATGCTCCGGATGATTGGAGATCCGCCTCCGACGGTCAAGTTAGTACTTGATTAAGGAGTAATTAATGCGAAAATTAAAGTGATTGGGTCTCTCTAGGTGAGAGAGTTTAATGTGTGTAATATGTGTCTTCTCTCTTAATGAGGATTAAGGGAGGTATTTATAACCTCGGGAAACGTGCCAATCTAGGTTTAGGTTAACCTTGGGCTGATTGGGCTTCCCTCGGAAGTTGGGCCTTGGTGACCAGTTATCCCAGGTGTCATGGGAAGGACACGTGTCGTGTCGTAATTGGCCCATAGTGGACGGATCATTGCTTGACACGTGGCATGCTCCTATTGGCCCATGTGACGGACACATGGCGGAACCTGATTGGTCCACTTGTCAGATGGTGATTGGTGGGGAAAAATCCCCTAATCAAATTGGATTAAATCATTTGGACCCTCCACATGATCATTGGGTCGTAGGTAAGGTGGGCTTAGGTTCGGTTTGGGCTCAGTTTAATATTTTGGCCATAACTTATTCGTTATAACTACAAATTTTTACCTACACTCTAAGGCAGGGAACACTGCCTGCACCCCCCTTCCGCGCGTGTCCTGCCCTCGTCCCTTTTCATTTATGAATTTTCTGTAAAATTTTTACAATATGTTCATTTTTGTATTGGTAAATGTTCATTTATAAATCATTAGATGTTCATTTTTATAATAAGAAGTTTTTGTTCAAATTAATATATTTTATGAATTGCATTTTAAGAATTTTTTTTATCAATAAAAATGAGAGAAAATTTATTTATATGGATTGCTGCGTTCAAATCATTTTTATTATTAGAAGTATTGCATCATCCAAGGTACATTTTTGTTTATTCGTGTTTCAACATATGTTCATTTTTGTATCATTAAATGTTCATTTCAAAAGCTATGTGTAAGTTTTATAGTAAGATGTATGCAAATACATACGTTTTAGAATTGTATTTATATAAATAAAGAGTGATTAAAAATAATTTCCAATATAAAATAAATTCAAATTAATTACAATAATAATGCATTTCCATACAGTTATACTATTACATATAATTGTTTCATAAACATGAAAGTGAACATTTCCACCATCCAATGTTCATTTATGTCGTTTAATGTATGTTTTCTGTAGTAAACTATAGGTTTATTGTAGTTGTATTTAAATATAAATGTTGTACACGTGAATTTCAATGATTTTTATTCTTTTAAAGACGCTCATATATATTTTAACTAGTGAACACATTTTAAAATTTGTTATTTTGTGTATTTTTAATAATGTTCAATTATGCAATTATAAATGTTCATTTATATATATATATATATATATATATATATATATATATATACATTTGTGTTTGTGGGATTATAAGTTGTACATGTGACTTTTAATGATTAACAATGTTTTGTAGTTTCATAAATAATGTTCAGTTATGTAACTATAGATGATGGTAATTTAATTGTAATTGATCAAATGCATTATTGTGATTGTCCATTATTGCAACTGTATGTGTTCATTTGTTACATGTTTAATTATTGCAGTGGGAAAAAGAGAATGCTTTTATTTTTGAAGAAGCAAGTCAATTTGATTTTTGGGGAAAACAATTTCCTTTTGAAGATGATGCATATGAAATGTATAATGAGTATGCTTTTATGAAAGGTTTTGGTATCAGAGTTAGGAGTAGTAAGAGGCAAAGGGATGACTCATTTTCTATGAAAATATATATTTGTTCTAATGAGGATTGTTAGAAAGATAACAAGTGTAGAAATATTATGTCCTATGAGAGACTTGATACAAGAATTGAAAGTTTAGTTTTTGTACAGTTTTCTATTTATAGTGTCAAATATTCTAATATATATAGTTAGTGAATAATGGTTCAAAGTCGACAATTGTAAATGCTCAACCACAAATTCAAGTTGTTATGATTATTTATTTTTTGTTTATGAACATATTGGTTTCCTAATATGAACACTATATAAGTCATCAAAAAATATGAACATTATATATACTTTGGGGAAAAAAATTTTATTTCCTTTTAAATGTTTGCTTTTGAAGGATGTGATTTGTAATAATACTTGGGAAAAAAAAAGTTTATTTCCTTCTTATTAAAATCAAATAGAAATTTTATATCACCAAAAATTAAAATATTGGATATTGAAATATACAACACAATTCCACACATATTATTATACATACTGAATCTCGATCCAAAATTGAAAAATACAAGCTCATGTTATTGGTTCATGTTGCGCAAATCCATGTCTTCTTGATTAATTTCCTTATTTTTGTCGTCTTCTTTTTTCTCCTTGCTATTATGTCGTGTAACTAACTCACTATATCCACAATTCTTTGTTTAACTAATAGACAAAAACAAATGAATTTTTAGTTAGATTTGAGCAAGAATAAGTGTTGAAATGAACCAATTTTCATATGAATATGAATAGTAGAACAATTGAAATGATCGATATATATGAAAATGAACATATATTAATAAATAAATGATCATATAATAGTATAGAAATGATCATCCATTAATATGGAAATGAACAACTCTTAATACATAAATGAACATAATTAGATAATTGAATATTAAAATGACCATCTATTAATATATAAATGAACATGCATTAGAATAATTTTCCACTCCAAACTATGAAAAAGAATGAACAACAATACAATGACTATGTAGTTATATATATATATATATATATATATATATATATATATATATATAGAGAGAGAGAGAGAGAGAGAGAAATGGGATCATGTGAGAACCTATGTCTAAAATAGGAACTTGGAACTCATCTGTACCGTTGATCGCGCTTAATCCAACGGTCCTTGCTTCACCCGCCTTTTTCATTTCAGTAATGGCATTTTGGTAATTTCTCAACTTTGAATGACCTCCTTTCTTTCTCTCTCTCTTCCTTTCATTTTCTCTCTCTACCCGTCCTCATTTTCCCTCTCTAACTTCGAGCTCTCCGCCGCGATCTGAGTTCTTCATTTTGCCGAATTTTTTGCCCAGATTTTTCGATTTTGATCTTCAATTACATCATATTCTTCGATTATTTTCATTCATTGAGGTAATTTTCTAATTATATTTGTATTTTCTTTGTTTATTTTGATTTTATTGTTTATCTTGAGCTGAGTTTTTCGATTTAGGGTTTTTTATTGTAATTTTTCTAAATTTTTACTTTTTTTTTGTTCTTTGAATTATTCTATACAATTTAGTGTTTGATTTTTGGTTTTTAATCCTATTTTATGGTTTTACACTTACGGATTCAATGTAGTTGCTTTCTGCATATAGTTGCTATATTGCATGTTGTTATTAATCTAGTAGTATAATTTGTTGTTGTTTTAAATTTACTTTTTGCATTCAGTCATTAAGTTTTCATGATTAGTTTTACTTAATTCTTATAACTTCATGTTTCTTAGTTTCTTCAAGTTTTTTAATTTTTTTTTATTTACTTTATGCTTTGAGTGATCTACTTTTTAGTATATCTTTAATAGTTTTTATTAGTATATTTTTTAAAAATATTGTTTCCTTTTAGATATAGTTTATTTACTTTTAATTATTGTTTACTTTTTACTTCTATTCATTTATTTTTCAAGAATATGTCTGAAAGCGTAGAGCGTATTTTTAAAAAATATTGTTTACTTTTAGTTATAATTTATTTACTTTTATATATTATTGTTTATTTACTTTTTTCTTCTATTCATTTACTTTTTCAGGAACATGTCTGAAAGTGTAGAGCATTGTTCTTCTTCTGTCACTACTGAAGATAGGAATGTAAGAATTTTCAAAACACCCACTCAGCCTTTGCTTCCTAAAATATATTATAATTCTGGAGGTTATAAAGAGTATACTCCATGTTGTTCTTCTGAAAACAAACCTTTTCTTGGTATGATATTTGATTCTCTTCAAGATGGTATTGCCTTTTATTACAAATATGCTAATGAGTGTGGATTTAAAGTCCGTTCTAGTACTACTAAATCACAAAAGAATAAGGATGATCCTACTGGTAAAGGAGTTACTTTAATAAAATATTTATTATGTAGCAAAGAAGGGTATGTGACAAATAACAAGAAATCTGGTAAACAAGTTGAAGGTGCTTGTTTATAGAGAAAGACTGTGAAGAGAGTTGGTTGTCCTGCTAAGATAAAATTTAGGTTTTGTAATGATGGGAAGTATATGGTGTATTGTTTTTATGAATCTCATTCTCATCCTTTTTCTACACCTATTACTAGGAAGGTTACTAAACATGAAGTTGGTTTAATTTTGCTCATAAGAAGTTCATTTTTGACAATTCAAAGTTAAATATAGGGGCTGTTATGTCTTATAGGATCATGAAAGAACTTTGTGGTGGGTTTCAAAATGTCATGGGCAGTAAAAATGATTTCAAAATTTTTTCTAGGGACTTGAAAGTTTATATCTCTAATGCTGATGGTGCGACGTTTGTTCAGAACCTTGAACGTAAAGTGAAAACCAGTAAAGGGGGTTATTTTTTTGATTACTGTGTTGATGAAAGTAGGCATTTGACCTGTGTCTTTTGGGCTGATGTTATTGGTAGAAGAGATTATCAATTATTTGGGGACTCTTTATCTTTTGATTCCACCTATGATACAAATAAATATTCATTGATTTTCTGTCCTTTTACTGGTGTTGATAATCACAAGAGATGTGTTACATTTTGTGCTGCTTTATTTTCTAAAGAAGACATAGATTCCTTTGTGTGGCTATTTCAAAATTTTTTGAAGTGTATGGGAAGAGAACCTTCTTGTATTATCACTGATCAATATCCTGCAATGGGTATTGCTATAGAAAAGGTTTTTACCAAGACTAAACATAGGCTGTGTATGTGGCACATAATGAGGAAGGTACCTGAAAAGGTTGGAACTGATTTTTGTAAAGAAACTGATTTCCTGAAAAAGCTAAGTGCAGTAGTTTGGGATAGAGAGATTGTCCTCATGTATTTGTTGATGGCTGGAATAGTGTTATAGAGGAGTTTAACCTTGTTGATCATGAGTGGTTTGCATACATGTTCAAGATTAAACATCTTTGGATTCCTGCATGTTTTAGGGACTTATTTATGGGTGGGTTACTGCGTTCTACATCTAGGTCCGAAGGTGAGAATAGTTTCTTTTGTAACTTTACAAACCCTCATGTGACCTGTGTTGAATTCTTTATCCGTTATGAAACTGCGCTTGATGCTCAAAGGCATGAACAAGATGAGTTGTACATGCTTAATAAACTTGAGCCTCAATTGGTTACTAATTTACACTTGGAAAAGCATGCTGCTGATATTTATACTCGTGCCATATTTTATGATTTTCAAGAAGAATGCCAGGGAGCCTGTTTTTCATGTGGAGTTGAAAGTTGTAGTTCTTTGTATGGAGACTGTGTGGAGTTTTCTGTTATTGTTGATCATGAGAAAAGGAAAAATTTTGATGTTAATTTTGATTTGATAACATATGAGTCAAGTTGTACTTGTAGAATGTTTGAGAGTCAAGGTGTTTTATGTAGACACATTTTGTTTGTTATGAAAGGCAAGTGTGTACGTGAAATTCCTGATGCTTACATCTTGAATCGTTGGAGAAAAGATGTTTTGAAGAAAGCTTCTGTCATAGATGTTGCTCTAGATGATGCTTCTAAGTATGATAAGAAGAAGCAATTGGTCAGTGATGTATGGTCCAAGATTTTCAGTTGTGTCAGTTTAACTAACCAATCTGAGGATGATTTATCTGAGTTTATTAAGACATTATCTTCATTTGAGGAGCAGATGATAGCAAAGAATAATCATGAAAATGCACCTAGTTCAAAAGAGGTGAAAGATGCTAATATTCAGGTTTTGGTTGGGTCAAATGAAGTTGATGTGAATGTCTTTCCCCCAACTCAGTGTCTTTATAAGGGTTCTGCCAGAAGTTCAAAGAGGTTGAAGAGTGCAAAAGAAATAGCTACTGAAGAAAAATCTAAAAAAGGCAGAACTTGTAGAGCTTGTGGGCAATCTGGTGTTTCCCATGACAGTAGAAACTGTCCAAACAAGTAGTCTTTCAGGTATTTTACTCTTAAGTATGTTCTATTTACTTTAAAATTCTATTTATTTACTTTAACAGTAGATTCATTTACTTTTTATTTTGTGCAGGTGTTATTATACTTGGTATTTTTTTATTTGGTATTTTACCTCTTTACCTTTTTTATTTAATTTAGGTTTTAATTTATTTACTTTACATTTTAATTTATTTACTTTAATTTGTGACAAATAACTGATGTTTATTTTTGTGCAGTTATTTTAATACTTGGAAATTAGAAGATGTTTTGGAAGATCAAGATGAAGATTTAATGAACAAATTTTTTCTATTATTTTTATTAATGTAATATTTTTACATTTACTATAAGTAATTGTACTGCAGGACTTAAGTTTAGTTTGTTTACTTTTAGCTATTATACTTTAACTTTATGAAATATTTCATTTAATTTTATCATATTTTATATCATATGAATTATTTGATTTATATAATGTTCTTACTTACAAAATTAAAGATAATTGCTTGTATTATTCCCTTTCTTCTAGAATACTTGTTACCATATCCATTTTTTGTTCTAAAATACTTGTCACATTTTTCGTGGAACCCGAGTTGACAAGAGTATTTGATACCGATTTTTAACATGAATTAACGTGTAAATGACCCGACCCAAATGTATCCCATATATTATTGACTTGTTGATTTCAACTTTATTATAACTCGTAAAATTATTGACTTGAACCAATTTGACTAAAATTCTAGAATGAGTTTATTTGAATGTAATTTGACCGGTTATCAAAATCACCTAAACTTGTAGTAAATCAGATATTGATTTTGAACATGAATTGATGTGTAAATGAGCCGACCCAAATGTAACTCATATATTACTAACTTGGTGATTTTACCTTGATTATAACCCGTAAAATTATTAACTTGAACCAAAATTGACTAAAATTCTAGATTGAGTTAATTTTCTAATCATTAATTATTGACTTTACTTGAATGTAATTTGACCATTTATTAAACTCACCTAAACTTGTACCAAATCTAATAAGATGTAAGGACGGTTGTAATTCGATCAACATAGGCCGGATGTTAGCGAGGCAAATGAAGTAGAAGACTTGACCCATCTTCAGTTTGTTGTATGATCACATTTGAGTTGGTTAAACACTTCAGGTCAAACACTTCGGATCATGTTCGAATTGGTTAAACACTTCGGGTCAAACTCTTCAAGTCAAATTCAAGTTGGTCAACTTCGGGTTAGGTGAGTTCGGGTATATGGTCAACATTAGGTCAACTCCATTTTTGTCTTGGTTATAGGTTGTGTTGGGTTAATTTTGGGGTTTTTTTGTCATTTTTTGTGATTTTGGGTCAATTTTGGGTCATGCGTCGGGTCATTTGAGTTAGGTCAACTATTATTACTTGAATACTTTTATATCCCATTTTCTATTAATTTAACAATATTTTTTTGTAATTAAAATTGAACACCTTATTTCATAAAGATTTTTTTAAAACTTTTTTCCTTTTACTTTAAACATAGTATTATTTACTTTAACATTTTTTTCATTTACTTATAATCGAATAACATTTTTTTGACTTTAATACTTTTTCCCATCTCCACCTCTACTTTTAATTCATTTTTTGTTACTTTAAATGTATTTGCTCTACTTTAAAATCGAACACCACATTTCAGAAATTTTTTTTTTTTAAAAACTTTTGTATTTACTTTAAACACATTGTTATTTACTTTAACAGTATTTACATTTACTTTTATATCTTCCATCATTTTTGAGAAAGAACAATCCTAGTAATTTAACTTAGATGTATAATATGTATTATTTTTTTTAACACAAACTGGAAATATTATATTAAGTGGCTAAACCCATAGTTTTAATTACAAATAGCATCACATAATTTTCACATTTATAATTGATGCTAACCAAAATAAGGCCTAATATTATACTAGACATAATATCAACATAGGTTATTGTATTAATTTGATTAACCACCTTCAACTATGGATGTAAGTGAGGCAAATGAAGTACAAGATTTTATCCATCCTTAGATTGGTGTATTATCACATTCAAGTTGGTTAAACATTTCAGGTCAAACGTTTCGGATCATATTTAGGTTGGTTAAAGACTTCGAGTCAAACTCTTTGTGTCCAATTTGATTGTTCAACTTCGGGTTGGGTGATTTCGAGTGTGTGGTTAGGATTAGGTTAACTCAGTTTTTGAGTCAAGTATGGGTTGGGTTAATTTTGGGTTTTGGGTCTTTTTTTCGGTCAATGATTTTGGGTCAAATTTGAGATATTCGGTTTGTGTCAATTATTTTGATTTGAATACTTTTTCTCATTTCTCCCTTTATTTAATTATAACCATTTTATATTAAATTAACATTATTTTTTTGTATTTTAAAATTTTTTTCCTTTTACTTTAAACATTGTATTATTTACTTTAATAGTATTTTCATTTACTTATAACATGTTTTTGACTTTAATACTTTTTCCAATCTCCACTTCTACTTTTGATTCATTTTTTATTACTTTAAAAGTATTTATCTTTACTTTAAAATCGAACACCATATTTCTAAAAGCTTTTTTTTTAGAAAGAACAATCCTAGTAATTTAATTAACATATATAATATGTATTCTTTTTTTAACACAAACTGCAAATATTATATTAAGTGGCTAAAGCCATAGTTTTAATTACAAATAGCATCATATATTTTTTACATATATAATTGATGCTAACCAAAATAAGGCCCAATATATATACCAGATTGCAATACAACAGTCCTTGAAATTCATTTCCCTAAACCTGCACTAACCCAAAAGCTATTTCATCCATCACAAAAAAAAGACCTAAAACTACAGAGACATAGTAGTAGCTACTGTAGCATTTCTTCAGATTCTTTCTTTTCTTCCCAATTCTCAACATTTGTTAGCAGTTTCTGTTTCATTTGATTTTTTTCACTGAGAAGTAGGTCAAGCACTGTTCTTACATGATGGTGATTCAGTCTTGCAAATTTCTGTAAAAAAATATAAATTATAAATAAATTATACACTAAGTATAGATTAGTTCTAAAGTATAACGACTCCAAAAATAAGTATGTTAATTACCTCTGTTATTGTTCCTAATCCTATACCATTTGCACCATCATAAATCTTCATATGCAGCAGTAGATAGCTTACTGAGAAGTTTTCCTCTTTTTCTTTTTGGAATGGAAGTTCAATTATTCTCAGCTTGTAGGTCTGTATCTCATTTGCCTGTGGATGCTTCCTTTTTTAAACAACTTTTGCACTTGTATCACCTGCAATGTAATGAATATTAGTATAATAAAACATATTGAAAAACGAATTTAAAAATAATTTTTTAATCTACTGATTCTTTACCGTTTCTAAGATAAAACTCTGTATAGGCTCATATTCTTCATTTGTCTCATACAAAGTGTTGTCTAGATGATCAATTGTTTCATCTTTGAAGTTTATCACAACAAGAAAATAATGCTCTTCTAACCTTAAAGGCAAATATACCTGCATATAGATTTGTTTTATATATAGTTACTTTAAACCTGTTTTTAATTACTTTAAACATATATTGTTCTACTTTAATATTAATTCTGTCTTACACATTGAGCTGCATCCATGTCCAATGATTGTGAACTGTTCCAATCAATCCATAGCTTTTGCAGACTTGTTACTCCCTTTTTTCCATGAGCATTCAAACACATTGTTAAAGCATCCTTTCAAAAAAAAAATCCAATTATTATTTCTAATATTTATTTAATGTAGAATTTTAAATTATAAAAGTTAATTTAAAAAACTTACCATGAAGTCAAATCCAAAAAAGTATCTGACCAAGTCATTTTCAGACCTGTCTCTTTCCCTTTCAATGTTATTCAGGTGGTTTGACCAAGCAGTGATCATATTACTTGAAACTTTCCATTCATTGAGCAAAGCATTACAATCTTGCCTTACTATTTCAATTGAATCTATAAACCAGCCTACTACTTCGCTGTAATGTAGAATTAAAGTTAAAGTTAAACTTATGCCAAACAATTTTATATATAATGCAATATGATTATTAAAACATACCTCTTGTTTGGAAAGTTTTCACCATCATTGATTGCTAAGTAGTCAATCACTTGGTGACATTGCAAACTCATGTTATGCATTACTTCCTTGTGTTTCTTCAAGAAATCAGAAACACAAATCATATCTTCCACTCCTTTCTCCTTCTCTAGTTTTCTAACTACCCTGAACCTTGAAATTTTTTTCTCAAGTTGTTTTCTTTTTGTGTTTATGTTTGCAAAAGCAAGAGCAGCACATATTTCTGCACAATAAACCTTTTTCCTATTTGCTAAATCAAGATCAAAATCAAAAGTCTCTCCAGAGAAACACAGCATATGGATCATTGCAAAAACACCACAATCAAGAGTATATCTTGGTGTCTTCCACTTGAAGTTAACTTCATCAAACTCATATTCAAGAATTTCATCAGCTTTTTCATGATTAATTCTCTTCAGAAAGTTTGACATTTCCTCCACCTTTAACATTTGTAAAGCAATATATAAGTAAAACAAATTTATAGTATAATTACTTTAATAAACATATGATTTACTTTAATTAAAACATCTGTTACTTTATATTTTATATTATATATTTATAGGAAATACAATGTGTACTTTTAATAGCTATTCTTTAACTTTAATAACAATATTATCTACTTTAATCAGAACATCCTTTACTTTATATATTAACTTATGTTTTAACTGTCATTATAATCTATACTTTTAATACATATTCATTTACTTTTATATTATTCTTATTTACTTTAATAATTTACTTTTTATAAACCAAAAAAAATCTTACCACAATAGATCCAAGAATTCTGTAGAAAGACTTGTGCCTGTCATCATACTCCCTGGTATCCAAGTATTGAATGGTCTGATTCATAAAGTTAACCGTTATCAAACTATAGTGGTTACTCATACAGATTGGAATAAAAATCTATCATTAAAA